ATATATATATATATATATATATATATATATATATATATATATATATATATATATATATATATATATATAATATATAAATAATAGAATAGTCACATGTCATCTTTTTTAAAATATAAATCTTTTAATACTCAATAAAAAATTATTTCCAAAATCTATTCATTAACTTGAACATAGCAATAGACATAACACCTATTGAAGTGCAATATAGCATATAGGGAAAAATTGATCTTAGTCTAGATTTAGGCTGTAAGAAATAAAATTAAAATATTTACATATTTATGAAAATAAAAACATAAACTTAACTAATTAACTTAGAAATGATTATATCATTATATTATCGTATATAATTATTATATACAATTGTTTTTATTACAAATTATACTTTCTATACTGTAATTATGATATACCTTTTTCAATTCTTTCAGTTTTAGCTCAGCTTCATTAATTTCTTTAAGTATAAAATCAACAGTGGCACATTGAATCTGAGAAATACTTATAGCCTTATCATGATCCATAAAATAGTTGCATATTTTGTCTTCAAATCTGAATCTACAATATGCTATAAAAGCTTGCAATACAGCTAACTGCTGTTTTCCTACTTTCAATATTATTATATTATCAGATATCCTGTAAGAAATATAAATTTAAACTGAATACAATACATAAACAATAAACTTCAATAATGATTTAATACTTCTCATAACACTTTGGTCTTATATTTAAATCCTTTTTCTTTGAGGTATTTAAAGTATTGGTCAAATGTGCAGCACGATCTTCACTAGCACCTGAAATTAAAATTATATATTCTGTTGTTATAAATTATGACTTGGACATTCCAAGGCTTACTTCAGATGCTATGCTTTAGTAAAATCATATCTTTATACATCTCTCACAACGTAGAAGAGATTTTGTAAATAACACTTTTCACACTTAAATTTTAAACTAACCTAACCAATGTGTATTTCTAGAAAGTTTTGGTAGAAATGTTATACACTAGTCATAAAAATATATATCAATATATCTGTGTATTTAGAACGTTTAAAACTTGTTACTCAAAATAAGATAATGACATAATTGTCGGAATATATATTACCAAGCTGCATAAAATCTTCTTTAGTTAACTTGAATAATGCACTGGTTGATAAATTTTTCTTCCTGAACTCTCTTATTAGGTCTTTGGCTCCAATACCGCATAATACCGTTGCAGTTTGTTTAGTAAATCCTGAAAAATCAACATTTCTTCCATCCATTTTGAGAAGTGTTTGTAAAAGTTCTTCAGAAGCTCCCTCCGAAAATTTATATTTTCATGATCTATTAAAAAAAAGCAGTGTTACCAAGCTATAGGAAAATCGTGGGCAAGTTTACACATGCTTCTATGGTTGCGTTCCGAAATTTATTGCCAATGTTAAAATTTTAAAGTATACGTGAGTGTTTTCCAGCTACGTACGTTGTTACACAAAACTAGTTTATTGGCTGCATATTATCTTACAAGATATTTTAGATAATATGTGACCAATAAACTGGTTTTGTGTAACACAGTGGGTGTTTTCCATTTAATAACACAGTCGACATAGGGTGCTTTCCAATTGCGTACACTATGTTATATAAAACCAGTTTATTGGTTGCATATTATCTTACAAAATATTTTAGATAATATGTGACCAATAAACTGGTTTTGTGTAACACAGTGGGTGTTTTCCATTTAATAACACAGTCGACATAGGGTGCTTTCCAATTGCGTACACTATGTTATATAAAACCAGTTTATTGGTTGCATATTATCTTACAAAATATTTTAGATAATATGTGACCAATAAACTGGTTTTGTGTACGTGTGTGTTAACATGGTTAAATAATTTGAAAGCACCCACAAGCATCATCCTATCTTAACCCAGTAGCACACGATGTTTGTTTTCATGCTGGTTTGCTTGCTGGATGGAAATACTGGGTATTTTCCAATTGCTTAACACGCTTGGTACCCTCGTACACAAAACCAGTTTATTGGTTACATATTCTAAAATATCTCGTAAGATAATATGCAACCAATAAACTGGTTTTGTGTAACGGAGTGTACGCAACTGGAAAGCACCCAATTTGTTCTGATTGATGCATTTCTGAAGATGAATGGAAATGCACCAATCAAAATGGAATATTTCCATCCAGCAAGCAATCCAGCATGAAAACAAGCACCGTGTGCCGCTGGCTTTAGGGTGCGTTCAGATTCCCTTCCCGAATGCATTCTAAGTTGCGTTCGGGATGGTAATATGCGCGACAAGAAGGTATTATGCACAATTCTGCGCATAATATGCATAAAAGTCTATTATGCGCAGAAAACGTGCAAAATACGCAGAAACGCGCAAATATGTAGAAAAATGCAGAAAATGCAGAAAACTCCTGAGACGCGCCTATTCTAACCTAAAAATAACATTTCTTCCTTCAATATATAATTCCAGGCAGCTTGCACTTTGCCTTAAGGTCGTTCTACATTAGTTGTAAGCCGATCACAAGCAGACGCAATTCTTATAGCCAATCAGAAGCATCAATGGTGCTATTGATGCTTCTGATTAGCTGTCGCAATAAGAATTGCAATCGACTTGCAACTAAAGATCGTTCTACATTAGTTGAAGTTTCAAGGTTGCAAGAAAATTGATCAATCACAGTCAATTTTTCTTTGGTTGTAAAAAGGAACGGACGACTGTGATTGGTAAATTTTCTTACGATCTTGCGATTTGCAACTAATGTAGAACCGGCCTAATGTAGAACGACTTTTAAAGAGCCAAAGACGCAGTCTTGCAACCATAAAGAAGGAGAGAGAGAGAGAGGGTGCTTCCAATTACTTAACACATCTTGACACGTACACAAAACCAGTTTATTGGTTACATATTATCTAAAATATCTTGTAAGATAATATGCAACCAATAAGCTGGTTTTGTGTAACACAGGCTGCGTTCCGAAATGCACTGCCAGTACTGAAAATCTATAGTTCATGTTACGTATATTATAGAATTTCAGTACTGGCAGTGAATTTCGGAACGCAGCCACTGTGTACGCAACTGGAAAGCACCCAGAGAGATTTGAAGCATGAGTGAGGAATACACGTGGGTGATAGCGTTGTTGAATTGTTTGTTAAAGTATTTTTTTTAAACATTACATTTAATTAGATTCATGAAGATAAGCGATTGAAACAAAATGAAGACCAAACCAAATCGTCACAAGGAAGCGAACACTTTTCAAGTACTAAAATTGAATACTAGAATAAAATTTATCTAACCTTAAATTATTCCTTTAAACCGGTCTTCTTTCTTGCAGTTCAAACCGTTCTCTGAAAGAGTGACTGAAATCGACGTAGATGTTTTTCACCGCATAGCACATCGAAATGAGGCTAGTTCTGACGAGATCGAAACTTACTTTCACGAGACGCTGCAGAAATGGAATGTTCTTAATCTAACAGATGGTTATACTGCTTTTAAAAAAGAAGTACGGGACATTGTCACGTTGCCCCAGTTAATTCACAAGAAGCAATATGTAGTTGATATGCTTATGGAATATCTGAAAAAACGAGATCCTTTGTTTCTACAGCCTATTCTGGAGTAAGTGCATGTAAAAACAATTGATATAGAGTGCTGCATATAACTAAAACAGCTATGAACTTGTGGATACTTATTTTAAAGGCATACATATATATACAAATAAATTTAAATATTTTTTTTATACTTACCTTTTAATCTCTCTTTTATACAGATTGGTAGTAGCTGTAGCAAGAGATCTTCAAAAAGATTTTTATGAATACTTTCCACAGTTTTTATCTGAATTAATTTGTTTATTACAAACAAAAGACACAGATCAGATAGAATACACATTTATGACTTTGGCATATTTGTTTAAATTTCTCTGGCGATATTTGATAAGAAATGTAAAAACTGTTGTTACTTTATTGTTGCCATTATTAGCTGATACACAACCAGTCTATATAAACAGGTTTGCTGCTGAAAGTTTTGCCTTTGTGGTTCGCAAAATTAAGGATAAAAATTCTTTCTTAAAGTTAATACTGCATATTTTGGAGGATAATACAAATGGAATATTTGGTCATGGAAAATTATTATTTGAGGTTATATCTGGTGTTCCAGGACAATTTCATTCTTGTGCTGAACAGATGTTGTCACTTTATTTTAATGCTCTACAAGATGAGTCTGTTAATCAAAGACTGACTTATAAAGTTGTAAAAGAAATTATGGTGTGCATACAACAAAATATACATCCACAAAAATGTAATGTTATGTGGAATGTTATGTTACAAGTAGTAGATTCGTTCATGTTAGTTGAAAAGTCGAAGCAATCATTGGAATCTTGTGAAAGAGAATATGCTTTAATTTTATTACTGCGACTTATGCATACAGCCATCAGTTATAAGAATGGAAAGCTACTAGTTGATGCTACACCTTTGATAAAGAAATTGATCATCATAATTGATATATTTAATCAAGACAAAAATATTATGCAAGAAGCCATCAATGTGTCAATTGCTATTCTCTTGGCATCTAATGTTAAATTAATGCAGGAAAATACAAGTCAACTATTACTTAAAATTATGGCGCTGAATGATGTGGAGTTATTGTACTTTTCTGTTGAAAACTTGATGCATTATTCTTTGTTTGAGATGTTAGTATTACCTCATATTTTGCGGCGTAGTATCTCAGTCGGATTTAATAGTAAGACATTGCTTCTGTTCACTAAATTAATTTATGTGAAAGCATCACCTTGCCTCAGCGGTATGGCTTTAAACAAATGGAAAAAGTATATTTTAGATATACGAAATATCGGACCAGAGAGTATAAATTATTTGCTATTCGAATTGACAACATTATCCACTGATGTTATTTCACTCGATGCAATAAGAGCTTTAATAATTCTGCCACACTTAAAACCTTTGCGCGAAGAATTCAAGGATGCATTAAAGGTTGGACTACAATTTTTATATAAACAAATATACAACTATAATAGTGCGGAAGATACTAGGAACATTAATAAATTAACTTTCATATTTTTATTGGCGCTAGAATCGATAATACATATATTTGAGCCAAATGATTTTCACGAGTTCTTGCTAAAATCTGACATGAAAATAGTTGATCTCGTTAATAAATATTATGATAATATCTACATTTTAAACGCAATAGATCTGTTCCTAACATATATCGCAGGATCACAACATCACGAATATTACATCAATCTTGAATCATTTGACACGTTACATAGTAATATAGCAAAAAAGATGAACTCACCTCACAGCAATATACGGCTGATTGTAGCACACTTATATTCTTTATTTGCTGATGTTAAAGATCTGAAATGCCAGGTGCAAGATAACGGAAAGAATGCTATGGAGCTTGTTTATTTAGCTGAATGCAAATCTGCAACTGTACAAGCGTACCGTGATAAATTGTTGTATTTACAAGCTTTAGAATTTCAGGGTCATGCATTAACTAATCTAAATCCGAAGTATTATGAATTTCCATTACGATGTTTGATAGGTAATTTGTATATCAATTTTTCTTTACTTTGGGAACCTGTGAATATAGTTATAGCTAGTTATTGCAACAAGGAGTGTCCACAGTTCTGGTCAACATTTCTTACCGAAATAACAACTAAAAATAAACCAGAAATTGAATGGAAATCGCCATTTCAATGCGACGTTGTGTCCTCGTTAATAACATCGATAGAAAAACACAATGACAAACCCGATTTTGAAAACCACAAGATTCTCCTCTGGAAATGCATGGCGCACTTCTCACATTATGCCGAGTCAAAGAATAGGGACTTAACTGTGTTGTTCATTGATTTTGTAAATATCAATTTTTTTAAATCTAACTCAGAGGACGGTAAGTCTTGTAACATCGAGAAGCATAAGGAGTTGTTAGACACCTGTAACGATATGGAAATTGAAAGTGTCGATGAAGAAGAGGATAAAGTCACTGCGATTGGAAAAGCTACACCGGCAGATAGAATGAATAAAAATTACAGAGTGAAACTTTTAATCGCTCAAATGGAAATATTTGCTAAAGTACTAAATCCAAAAGTGTTACACAGAGGAGCAGAGATGCATCAGATTTATTTGGATCTACTTTCTTCAAAGAATGCCGACATACAAAAAGCAGCTCTAAATTGTCTCTTCACATATAAATACAATTACCTTATACCATACAAAGAATCTTTGTATGGCCTGATAAGTGAGAAGAATCTTAAAAACGAACTCGCACACTTCAAACTAGATAGAGAAAGTAATATGATACAGGAAGAACATCGTAAAGATCTCATACCGATTATAATGAGAATTATTTATGCGAAAATGATCATGAAGACCGGCATGAGAACCGGCGGGAAAGCCGGTGGACTTGTACGGAGAAAGATCATATTGCGCTTCTTGGGTGGAACACAGGAAGATGAGATGATTACCTTCGTCAAAATGGCATTTAGATCCTTCGAATCGTACATGTCGCTAGAGATGGATGAAGCGTTTAATTTGAAGCAACATGCCAAGAAGATAGTCGGTGAGATCGACCTGAACAACATTATACCACCCAAGCGCATGCAAAGCGCGGTAAATTTATTGGCGATAATAATAGAACAGTTTGGCGGAAAAATGTCGACAAAATTACTGCCGCGTTTGTTCGGAGTACTGATCTGTATCTTGGCCAAGGCGGTCGGGGTCCTTCGAAAATCGGAAGAGGTTTATGAGGGATACTTGCCGATGATTAAGAACGTGAAGACGAATTGTATCGGCGTACTGGCTAGATTTTTCGTGCACTTTGAGGACTACGACTGGCAGCAGCACGAAATAGATGCGGTCTTCGACATAGCGATATTTCCTTGGCTATCGAAATTACCTGTGGAGAGTATTCACAGTCCTACGACCTTATTGAAACTTTTCATGGCGTGGGGCCAAAACTCTCGATATTATCCGTTGTTCATAAAGCATCAGGAAGATGATGAATCCGTCAGTCCGCTTCCTTATATCATGCAAGTCCTCTCGAACCCCAAAACACATCCATCCGTTATTAATGCTATTTTGGAGATTATCGAAAAGATGTTGACGCTACAGGATTACGGAAAATCTAATGAGGATACGAGCGAGATGCAAGTTGACATACCGTTTTTACCGCTAACACCAATACTCACAAATCTGCTCAAAGTGGAGGAGAAGATATTCTCGACTGGAGTTAATTACGGCTCGGCAATTCTCTTGCCACACGTCCCTCACATATTGGAATTCATCAAGAACAAACTGAAAAAGTCTAACAAGGGCATAAGTAGGATCGAGTTAGCTATACTGTCGCGTATCTCTGAATTTGTCACGGATACGGAAACGTGCGACACGCTGTTAACTCTTATATTACCAATATTAATCAAGAAGGCCACGCACAATAACGAGGAAGCCGTTATGAAATTATTGACGACAGTAATAAATCTGGTAAAAATTGTGAACAGGCCGGAGATTCACTTGCGTGCCATCGCGCCGTTGGTAGGTCTCGTGTCAGATATAAATATTCGTAAACTTCTCATGCTGTTGTATAACACCATCGCTGAGAGGTCCACGGAAGAGCATCATGAAACGATAATACGTGACTGCAACATTCTCACCGCGCTTAACGCGTGGGATCACAGGTGGATCGATCAACCGGACTTCCAGAAACGGTTAGACGCATTTGGAGAAATTAATAATATGGTCGAGAAGAACGTGATTACGCTAGAATTTGGCGTGGCTGTAATATACAATTGCTTCTACTTCTTGAGGACCGAGACGGATCTGGCGATAAGAGATTACTCCGGCCAGTGCTTGAAACTCATCGCGTCGAGATTGGCAAAGGAACATCAGAGTAACATTCTAAACAGACGTTTCTTGATGGATGAAACTATCTTGGTACTCACGAGAAAAGGGATTGTGAGTAAGAACGAAGTTGTCCGCCTGCAGTCGATAGCACTTATAGGACACTTGGCACTGGAGTGCGCGGATGTGCATCCTGTTTTGCGGGATCTATCTCTTCTCGTTAACCAAGTCGATCCTGAAGTCGATTTCTTTGAAAATATGCAGCATCTACAATTGCACAGAAAAGCACGTGCGTTATTGAAATTTTGTACGCTCGCCAAGAAGTTAAAGAAGCCGATCAATCCTAGAACATTGATGCAATTCATTCTTCCTCTTTGTTCGTCGTACTTGTGTAACGAGACTTACATTCATAAGAACAGCATCGTTGATGCTGCTATCGAAACTGTCGGAATAGTGTGTAGACTTTTACCATGGCACCATTATGAGATCATCTTGAAGTATTATTTAAGCAAATTAAGGAGTTCCGTGGAGTTCCAAAAGCAAATCGTTAGAATAATTATAGCGATATTGGATTCTTTCCATTATGATCTTTCAAAATATAAATCATCGGAACCAATTATGCAAACTAAAGCAGAAAATGAAAGTAACGTTACTTCTGTCGATGAAAAAGAAATTAATGGAAAGGTCGATGAGAATGTTAATCTCGAAGATATGGCACAGGAAGTTGAAGAAGAATTAGAGAAAGTATTAAACGATGATGAGGTCGAAAATATTGTGGAAAAAGATGATGAAGCGAAAATAGAGAACGTACTGATAATCGAGAAACAAACATTACTTTCTCAGTATGGAGCAAAAAGGGTAATATTCAGTATATCGAATGGCTTGCTACCTCAATTATATCGATCTATTGTGGCCAGAACTCGACAGGAAAGTACTCACAAGATTAACAAGAAAAAGGTTGTATCCGAAATGGAAGAGGACGATTTGTTGAGGGTTCCCATCGCTCTCGCGCTTGTGAAACTATTGCAGAAAATGCCCGAGAACCTTTTGGACGCAAATCTACCAGGGTAAGTATTATGATACCTGACAGTGTTATCAACAAAATAGTGTAACATTGTATGTCTTAATATGGAAAAATCTAATGCATATATTTTCAGGATATTTATGAAATTGTGTACATTCCTTAAATCGCGTATGGAATCGGTTCGACGTGCAACTCGTGAGATATTACAAAAAATTATGATAACATTAGGTCCAAAGTATCTTCATTATCTTTTGAAAGAAACAAATACATTGTTAACGAAAGGCTTCCAAGTGCATGTTCTTGTATACACAATTCAATCCGTATTATCTGCATTGAAGCCATATTTTCAAAAGTTTGATATCAATCACAATTTACAAAGTATTCTATCAGTAAGTATTGTTAATTATATATATAAACAATTTTAAGTTGTACAGTCTATTTTTATTATAACATATTTTTCTAAAAAAAGCATGAAACCTTGTTATATATAAGAAATACATCTTCCTATATGTGACATTTGTAATTTTCACATAACGTCTATATCCGATTATTTTGGTATTTAGGTGTGTAAAGTTGATCTGTTTGGATTAACTGCAGAGGAAAAGGAGATAATAGGTATCGTTAAAAATGTGTCAGAGGCAAAGAGTTCTAAGAGCTTCGATATCTTTCATATATTAGCGGAATTTATAACGGAATCCTGTTTATTGGATTTAATACAGCCGTTGATGGAGGTATTAAGGAAAACACACTCTCACAAAACAATACATAAAATTGTGGAGTGTTTACGAAATATAACTTTGGGTTTGGCAGACAATGCTTACATCCCACTAGAACAAATGCTCATATTTCTTTACGGTATTATCTCAGAGAGTATACCAAGTCTTATACCTGAGAAGGAAAGTAAGAAGTCCACAGAAGAAGAAACAAGATTAGTGCGACAGAAACCAGATTGTTTTATTATACCGCCAGAACCCAAAAGTAGAATGGGTGTTAAAGCTGCGGCGAAAACCACTAAAAATACTAATGTTCATGTAATAGTGGAATTCGGCTTGAAACTTTATCATATACTATTAAAACGGGAAAAAGTTACTTGCATGATATACAAATCTCACTTGGAATCTTTCGTATCACTTTTATATGATTGTTTAAGTTCTCAACATGTTAAGGTACTTCTCTACAACAAATATTTATCATAAAACTACTATTCGTTTAGGATAGTTCTTCTCATAAGAAAAAATTATTTTTAGCTGAGTACTGCGGCAATACAATGTTTGAATTGGATGCTTAAAATGGACTTGGATTCGGTACAAGCATTGATATCAAACATCTGTGATGCTTTGTTCGATATTTTGCACAAATATTCTGCTGTTGGTTTAAGCAAAGGAGACAACTTTGATCTTGTGATGGTCACATTCAAATGCATGTCCGTAATCGTTCGTGACGTGAAACATTTTACCATCAAAACCCATCAAGTAAAACTTCTTATTCTATACGCGGAACAAGATCTACATGTGAGCGATAAACAAGCTACCGCGTTTACTTTATTAAAAGCTATAATTCACCGAGAAATGACTGATCTCGAGATGCATCCTGTCATGGAAAAAGTAGCTATAATGAGTGTTACTTCAGAGTTGGAGCATGTTAGATTGCAGTCGCGCTCTGTCTTCTATTCATATTTGATGCATTATCCGCTTAACAAACATTTGGACAAGTATATAAATTTTTATCTAACTCAACTGAGTTACGAAATGCAATTTGGTCGATTGAGTGCATTAGAAATGATACATACCATAATCACGAGTTTCCCGTTGGTGAGTATTATTCTATATTTTTTTACTTGTACATACATACATACACACACACACACACACGTGTGTGTGTGTGTGCTTCTAAATTGAATAGAAACACGAATATTATTAAATTTTAACTTTATTTACTAATGAATACATTTGAAATGTATTACAGGAAACTTTAATTATAAGATCAGGACCTATATTTCTGATGACTGGTGCAAGATTAATAAATGACGATGATCCGACTTGTCGTAAGCTTTGTGCGAAATGTATAAAAGAAATGGTTAGTCGGATACCTTCCAATGAAAAAAATAAGTTATTCCATATAGTTTTTAAATGGCTAAGTGATGACAAGGTAATTACTGATTATTGTAACTTTTTTAATAATAAGCAAGCAAGTCTTTTTTTATAAAAACATGAAAGCTGATTTAAACACTCGTAAATTATTTTGCTATGGTATAATTTATTATTAAGTTATGAAACACTTTTAAGATCTATTTTTTAAAGTACAATCTATGAAAATATCTTTATATACTTCATATCTTTCAGATAACACATCGAACATTAGCAGCGCAATTATGCGGTATATTTGTGACGGTCGAAAAAGATGAATTTGATTCACGATTGAAACTACTTTTGCCATTGCTTCTGAAGCAGTTTTATGCAAAATTCTATTCTTCTGACAATATGGAGTCTGGAAGGTTCATACGGTTAAATAATACAAGTGATGTACAGAGGAAATATTCTAATCTAAAGAATCCAGAAAGAATGAAAGATCATCATTTATTTCAAGTGTTACAATTGCTACTAAAAATGTCGGCACATTGCACGTCTTTCCTTACAAACGAAAAATATAACGATTTCGTTTGCTCTTTTGCCGGTAAATTATTCCTACTGAAACAAATAGTAATTTTTAACTAAGCAAAGATTGCATTTTTGTATTTTGTTCCAGAATATAGTCAGTCCTTGTTGGCTCACCCACATATTTGGGTTCGATTAGCAGCCGCACAGTTGATTGGTTTTATTCTGGCTACTCTTGACATCGATAGAGTTTCAGAACTTTTAAATAATCCGGAGAGCAATGAAGCACAAAAAGGTTACATATATTCGAAGCCCATTGATACTATAAGAAGTTTGACTTTAGATTTAGTAGCACAAATCCATCCTGACATGACATTTGAAGAATTAGCAGATCAAGTTGTGAAAAATCTGATTTTTATCGCGAAAATATTAAAATCAGTCAATAAACTGACTGTTGGAAATGATAAACAAAATAACGAAAGTAAAACGAGGGATAGTAATAATTTATCTCTTCCTTGGTTCATTAGAAAATTGAGAAGAGCTGTTAATTTAGAAATAACACAAGCTCCTAAGTCAATATCAGTGGTAAGAACATATTCAATATTTGTATATGTATAGTCCTAAAAAAGATATGGAAAATTAAAAAGATTATATATAAATGGTACTTTCAGAGAATTGCAATTTTTAAGTGTATTGCTGGCATAGTGGCTACAGTGCCTATGGAGTATTTAAACGCGATACTTTTTAGTATCATGTCGCCACTAGTACGAGAAATAGCTACAACAGAAGAATCGAATGCCGAATTACGTCAACTTGCCAAAGAAGTAGCTTCTATGATTAAAAAATCCATAGGAAATGAAGAATATATCAAATTACTTAATCGTGTGCAACAAAAACTTGATATTAAAAGAGCGGAAAGAAAAAGAGTTCGCGCACAGCAGGTAATTCCATATTTTGTTTCTTATTTCTTTATTAATTGATTATTTTATACACACATGTATATACATATGACATATTGTAGCCTTTACAAAGATTACAGTATATTCAGATTTTATATATGTAATGATTACTTTTTTGTTACAGTTTGTTGTTAATCCTGATTTAGCTGCCAAACGCAAATTAAATAAGCAACAAAAAAAGAAGGTGACAAAGAAAAAGAAATTATAAAAATATAAGATATATGACGATAAGATATGACGTCATATATATATATATATATATATATATATATATATATATATATATGTGTGTGTGTGTGTGTGTGTATATATATATGTATATATATTTTTTTATATATGTAGAAAATATAATTACTATAAAAAAAATTGAAAAATTACTATAAAAAAATCTAATATTTTCAAAATATGGGCATTAAATTCCTCTTAGTATTTCATAATAGATATATTTATTTAAACATAAATATAAATTGTGCAAAGTTAATATGAAAGTATTTTTTCATTTGTGATATTAAAAAATTTAGAAAGATTGTATATAATCAACTTTTATATACTTGTAAGTATATTAATTTACTTGATAATTACTTTACAAGTTACTTAGTAAGTATAATAAGTAAAATAGACGGAATTTAAAATCTTCTAAATTGCTTTTTGAATCGCTCATAATGATAATCATCTGTCGCCTTTTCTCCGTTATCTTTTCGCTTTCCTCGTATATCTTCCTTGGTAACACTTTTTTTCTTGTCATCAGAATCTTGTCGTGATTTTTGAAAATCCGGGTCTTCTATGTTAACTGAAATTACATATAAAATAATCAATTTTCCTAATCTACAAACAAGTTTACTTCAATTTTTTTTCCGCAATAATTGATTTGATTAGAAAAATAAGGAAATTCATACATCTATTATGCTGTACAAAATTTACAGCCATATTAGTAGGAACAAATTGTGATGGTCCATCTTTCTTTCTGTGCCTGTCCCAGAGTAATTTCAACTTTGCCTCTTCAGTAGCTTCAATGTTACGAATCTTAGCTCTGCAAAATTTCAATTTTTTATAAAATTGTTTTTCTCTCCTTAGTAAATGTACTTACAAATAATATTATATATCATTAAATGTATAATTACTCTATGCCAAGGTCTACTTCTGGAATGCCAGAAAGCATTTGATTTGAAAGCATTTCTTCACTGCGATGAGCTGAGCTTTGTCTTAAATGCTCTGGTACTGCTCGTAGTGCTGCCTCCTCGGGTGAACAATATGATCCTTTTTCATTATTTATACCATTTGCTACATCTTTATTATTTTTACTTTTACGTTTTGATAATTCTTCTTCTATATATTTAACCCTAAAAGTAATATCTATATTAGTCTGATATAATGTATATATTTTTATCAAGTGGTAGTAATAAATAATACGAAAGTGTATTTACATCCATATACATACATTTCCTCATCTTCATCACGTTTATTAGTTTCTGCATTAAACTGTGTTCCAATACCAGTATCATAAGCATCATTCTGACGATGTTTTGTATTTTTCAACACAGCCATATTTACCATTCCTCCAGTTTTCATATTAAAGGGATCGGACTAAATTAACATAAATTATTTATTATAATTTTTCATGCTATTTTCCATGTTTTAATGATACAAAAGATCTTACCATTATTACATCAGATGCAACATTTTCTCCAAGAGCTAAACCAACGACGTTAATACCTGTCGGCCTTTCACGAAGTTTTTGAACGATTTTCATTTCTTCGACTTTTTCCCTAAAATAATTTTTGTTATAATTTCATACGCAAAAATTTATTAATAACTTTTCTAATGAGTACATGTAATATACCTGAGAGATGTTTTCTCACTCTCGCTGTCATCATCTGAAAGGATTTCACGTTTTCTTAATGGCTTTCTTTTTTTCTTCTTAAATTCGACATTGGGTGTTTCTTCGTCGCTATTCATATTTCTTTAATTATACAATATAAAGCAATATTTAAGTAAAATAGCAAAAAGAGGTTAGAGCTGTATATAGAGGTTAGAGCTGCTTCTGATGAAATTGCGTATAGGGATATAAGATTCGACCAATCAAAATAAATAGAACTACGCATTGCAAATTGTTGTAGATCATAGGGTCCCCAGAAAATAAATTCTCCTATTGGATACTAGAAACGCCGTACGCGTCCATTGAACGCAATGGAAATCTACCATAAATTATCTGATACATCATCGTGCACGAGATACATGAAATAATTGTAGTGTCGGCGACATCGACATCAATCGTCTATTTCGGAGTTACGTTTGCTGTCGTCGTTACTTTCACGCGTAATTATGAGCTGTGGTTTCGTTACGTGCGGTCCAAATGAAGCTCTTGTCGTTTCAGGTAATTGAACAAAAAAGTATTGTTACATGCAATATTTATTTCTTTTGGTATGCCGCGTGCCGATTTAATCATTCGTAAAAAATGGGAGGAGCATTCTTGCTTGTGAGATAATTGATTTGAGGAAACACCATAGTGGGGAAACGCAGAAATCTGCGGGATCAATAAGGAACAGCCGCATCTATTATTAGATTGCCCTGATAATATCTATTATGCAGAGAGAAATAGAGATAATAAGAGATACTATAAATAAAGAGAAATAAGAGATGCTATATTTATTGTTTACATGAAATGTATCATTCATTATATATCTGTCATTTGAATATACTACTTATTCTTTGTTAATTTTATTTTGATGAATCTATGCAACACACGTTTTTACTTTTTTTGCAATTTATACACATATCTTTACTTTAAACTTTTGTTTCAAGGATGTTGCTACAGCAAACCACTTTTGGTACCAGGAGGTCGGGTATTTGTTTGGCCTATTGTGCAACAAGTACAAAAGTAAGTGTTATATAAAAGTGTTAGTGGATTATGATAAAGATTTTGGATGGATTGTATATATCTTATTTTTATAGAATTTCTTTAAACACAATGACTTTACAAGTTGAAAGTCCAACAGTATATACTTGTCAAGGAGTACCAATATCTGTTACAGGTATAGCACAGGTAATAAAGAAAAGTTATTTTTTAACTTGTATAATATATATATGATGATGTATGTATGTATGTATGTATATATGTATGTATGTATGTATGTATGTATGTATATATGCATGTATGTATGTATGATATATGTATGTATGATATATGTATGTATGATATATATATGTATGTGTATGGTATGTGTGTATGTATATATTGATATTGATATATGTATATGTAATATATAAATTAGACTTGTGTTTAATTCTACTTAAAAACTATAATATAAATTGGTTATTTATTATTAATCATACATGTGGAAAGAGCTATACAAGATATTCTATCATATAAACAGATATCTCATAGTTATATATCTTCATTATTATGTATTGTGTCTACATTAGGTAAAAATTCAAGGACAAAATGAAGAAATGCTTTCCACTGCATGTGAACAATTTTTGGGGAAATCTGAAGAAGAGATACATAACATAGCCCTTGTTACTTTAGAAGGACATCAACGAGCTATAATGGGCAGTATGACAGTAGAGGTAAACATACATCTTTGCAACAGCATAATTTGCCACATAATATAATATAAAATATAATATATAAGATATAATAGTTTTTTATATAATTTTTATTAACAAGTATATATATGTATATAGCTAGACAGATATAAATTATTTTAAGTATTCAAAAATTATAATTAAAAACTGGATTTTATTTAAGTTTTTTTATTGCAGGAGATTTATAAAGACCGTAAGAAATTTAGCAAGGAGGTATTTGAAGTTGCAAGCAGTGATTTAGTTAATATGGGCATTACTGTTGTGTCATATACTTTGAAAGATATTCGTGATGAGGAAGTAAGTATAATGTTATATGAAAACAAAATTTTAAAATAAAGACAAATTTAAATTACAAAAATAACCCAAATATAGATATCCAGAATTTTTAATCTGGGAATATAATATGAATACATACATAAACTTAACACATAATTATATCTGCAAATTGTAATTAATAGAGATTAATAGAGATTACTGAGTACATTATTAATGTACATAGTATTTAAGATTATATACATACAATGCATACATACAATACAATATTTAAAAGACCCCCTTTAAACAATTAAATATAATATTTGTTATTAAATTGATATTAATTATGAGTTGTTGTAGTTAGATCTTGTACATTGTAAATATTGAATACCTTTTTGTTTTGCTACTTGCAGGGGGCAAAGGTACGTTCAAATTTTGTTTTACCACTACTATCTAATTCTCTCAGCACACTGCTATTTCTTCTGATGTTATTATCGCAAATTTTCCAAGTCCTAAATAAATTTTTATAATATATTTTCAATGCTTTTCGCAAATAGCACAATTATACACACTCGCAACTTTGTTTATTGAATATACATCGTGTGTACTTATATATGTTTGCCTTTGTGTCACTCAGGCTTACTCAAATGCTGAAATTAATGTTACATTTTATTGTGCTCTTGTCATAGATAATGTTTAGTGTGTAGTAATTTCCCGAGAATATATTATTTATAGGGTTATCTGCAAGCACTTGGTATGGCACGTACGGCTGAGGTAAAAAGAGATGCTAGGATAGGTGAAGCAGAAGCTCGCAGAGATGCACAGATTAGAGAAGCTATTGCTGAAGAACAAAGAATGGCTGCGCGTTTCTTAAACGACACAGAGATTGCGAAAGCGCAACGTGACTTTGAATTGAAGAAGGCTGCTTATGATGTTGAAGTTCAAACTAAAGTGAGTAGATATTTCTACCTCATGTTACAACAATATTATTATATAAGTATTTTTACATAAGGATATTAATTACAGAAAGCTGAAGCAGAAATGGCTTTTGAACTGCAAGCGGCGAAAACTAAACAAAGGATTATGGAAGAACAAATGCAAGTGAAAGTGGTAGAACGTAGCCAAGAGATCGCTGTACAAGAACAGGAAATGCTTAGACGCGAAAGAGAATTAGATGCAACTGTACGACGCCCTGCTGATGCAGAAAAGTACAGGTACGTTGCATTTTCGATCTGGGATAATAACAGGAAAGAGTCTGCAGAGAAAATCAAGAAATAAGATAAAAATAATTAAAAGTATATTATGTATCTTTTATAACAATATAGATTGTCTCATGATTTCAATGTTAATAATAGATACACGAATATATTTTAGAAAATTTCTCCTAATACTCAACAATCTTATTTCAGGTTAGAGAAAATGGCTGAAGCAAATAAATTACGTCTGGTTATGGAAGCTGAAGCTGAAGCTGAAGCTATTAAGATTCGCGGCGAAGCGGAGGCTTTCGCTATTGAAGCAAAAGCGAAAGCAGAAGCAGAGCAAATGGCAAAGAAAGCTGCTGCATGGAACGAATATAAGAGTGCAGCCATGATAGATATGATGCTTGATACACTTCCAAAGGTGCTTTAATCTTTATGATATATTCACGATACATTTAAGAATACAATAACAATAACTTACAATAAATGGAAATATTGATTTCATTGAATCGACGGTTGATGCGATGCGATTATTTTGCAGGTTGCTGCCGAAGTTGCTGCCCCTCTTTCTCAAGCGAAAAAAATAACTATGGTATCGAGTGGTAATGGCACCGTAGGTGCGGAAAAATTAACCGAAGAAGTTTTCAATATTGTGCAACGTGTTCCGGAACTCGTAAAGAATTTAACAGGTGTGGACATTTCAAAGGTATGTATAAAATTTTTGACATTTTTTATAAATCTACGTTATAAAAAATATAGTAAAAGTAAATTTATCTGCATATATATATATATATATATATATATATATAATTATATTATAGTAATAACATTATAATTAATTTAATTATAATGTTATTGTTAACATTACAATTATATATTAATATAACGTAATTATATTGATTATATTACCTTATCACATTAATTTTTTCTTTCAGTCGGTTCATGCAGCGTAAATGTGCAATATAAAGAATATTTCAATTATTTCCTAATCATGTTGTATTTCAATATGCACATTTATAGAAAATATTCAATGGATCTTTGATATATACATTTACTTTAGATATTTTTTCTTGTAGTAAAGATCAAATCCCTTTACATCTAAGAGAAAATTCATTTTGACACTTTTGCCGCCATTCTATAGCATTTATGTCATATATATCTCACACGTGTTTAGAGCAACAAAGATCCCAGATTGATTTATTACCTTCAGTACAGTCAATATGAATTTAGATTGTTTAATTTATTGCAATTTTTTGCAATAATCACAAGAAATTCATTATTCGTTTATTCCATTAATTTTTATTTTTGCAGTAAATGTATGGTGCAATGTTAGTAGTTCATTATTGATATTATTTTTATACTATTTTCTAATTAACATTTTATTAATATTTAGTATATTTTAACTAACTTTAAATAATATGTGCTAGTCTATTTTATTAATTTAACGTATCTGTTCATAAAAAAATATATGTGTATTCTGTCAAATCTCTAAATGATCAATTGTAATGGTCCATATTTATCTATAATACTTTAATGCCAATATGTGCCGAATGCCATTTCTCCAAATATTCTACTTCTATGCGTACCTTCCAAATGTAATTACTAAATAAGTGTTTAGATATAAAAGTATTAGTGTTTCTTAACATCATTTAATGTAGTTTATTCAATATGGAGAGATCTTTTCTAATCCTTGAGATATAAATGAGATACACGTGATTTTGTGCAAGTGTTCTATTTTCTGTATCTCTAGAAAATGTGAGACAAACAAGAATATATATTTTACTTGTGTAGCTAGAGGTCAAGCGAGATCTATTTACTTGTATGAATCATAGAATCATAATTCTTTTAATAAGATTATGACTCTAACTATGTAAGTTTATATGACCAATAAAGCTTTAAACAAATATGTATATATACATACATATACAATTTTATGTAAAGCAATAACACAAAATAAATGTTATGAATACGTGTCAATCGTTTTGATGATGAAACAAATGACACAGTATAATAAGTCTTGTGTCTAATACATTCATGGTATTATTTGTTAAATTTTTATTATATATATATATATATATATACATATATATATATATAATATTAATATAAGAATAATATAAGAACTCAGCGAGAAATGACTCGTCGATCGATGTTGAAATGATATTGAATCGATGCCAATTTGACGATTTCAACGTCGATTCGATATCGTTTCGACGTTGGTGGATGAGTCATTTCTCACTGGAAAATATATATTATAAGAATATATATTATAATATATATTATAAGAATTTAACAATTATATATATTATAAGAAATTAACAATATCTCATGAATGTATTATTATAAAATATATAAAGTGTGTCACATAATTAAAGTAACAACCCTCATAGCATAAGATTTTGAAGAGATATTTTGGGACTTGTGTGAACATTTAGAAGTCTCCGGAATATTTTTAGGATATTCTGAGGACTTATGCGGACATTTAGCAATCCTCTGGACGTCTTTGGGACATATTTTAAATCTTGTGCTATGTGGAAATAATAATAGAGATATAAATATTTAAAGAATTATGTAAAACCTAGTATGCCCTCCTCCTTCTATGGTGGATCCCCCATGGCGCATTGCGTCCAAGCATTCGGGGGCTGCCAAAAAATTGGTGTCGACCCCGGGGCTTATTTGTATTATTTGCACCGGATGAGGAGGGGCAACGGTGAAGACGGGCATACATGGACAGCAGGTCTTAAAGGATAGCAACCTTTGACTTTGAAAGACTGACAACTGTACCATTTGGTACAGTAACATTGTTTCTCTCTGTAGTCGCCGTGCGCTCGGGATCGCGCCAGAGATGTCACTTCCGAACGGCATCTCTGAGCGTTATCTAGGAAGAGGAAAGTGTCGTGAGCGTGGAGCGTCAGGTAGCTCAGTGGTTTAGAGCAGTCGCCCGGCAAGCGAAAGACCCGGGTTCGAGTCCCGGCCTAGCAGGACCACCGCGCTCTCGATATTTTTCTCTTTCTGGAACGAAAAAGATACGCAGATCTCGAACGCACGGCGTCCCGCCGCCACCTAGTATGCCCTCCTCCTTCTATGGTATAAATATTTAAAGAATTATGTAAAACAATTATAATTATATATAAAAATATTAAAAATATACAATTCTTTGTTTTGTGTGTGTGTGTGTGTGTGTGTAACATTAAATTCTGCTACATAAAATTAAACTTTGCTAATGTAATTTTCGTATATAAAAAACAGGAGAAAATATATGCCTGACTCAGATAGCACAGAAAATTCAAAAAGAATTCAGTTGTATGTCACTAATTCTGAATTTATTTTTAGATGCAAAAAATTCTTCAGAATTCAATTTAGTGAAAAGAATTTTTTTTGCATCTAAAAATGAACTCACAGAATTGGTGATATACGACTGAATTCTTTTTGAATTCTCTGTGCTATCTGGGAAGTGATAAAAAAATATACATATAACGATATATACGGTATATTTTTCAAATCAGATACTATATTTTTCATAATATTATAATATCAAAAATATCCCATACAAAAGCTCGAAATATATCCTAGAGACATTCCAGAAATAACGCATCGTTTCTGAGATGTTTCTGGGACGCATTTCAGACTTTTGTGCTGTATAGGATGATGCGCGATGTATAATGATCTTTTGCATACTGACGTTGAAACCGCGATACAGCTCGAAAAATCAATCAGATTTGAAAATTTTCATTGTCCAATTATTCATACTTTTAAATTTTCGTTTTTTTCCAATATTAGTTGCACACCTATACATATGTAGTTGCGTTCGCTCGCACACACGTCCGGCAAAGAAATGAAGAACACATTTATTATAAAAACTAATACTGCAATTCTAGATAAAATCGTAAAACTCGTAATTTGTTTTCGTAAAACTCGTAAGAACTTATGAGTAGATCTGCAATTCTATGCGGATCGTATGTCATATGATAACTCGTAAATATCTACGAATTTTTTTTTTGTTTTTTTCGTAAGCTACGACTTTACAATTTTACGATTTATCCGTATATTTGCTTAGAATTGCAGCATAAGTATTTAATGAAAAGCTATTTACAAATTCTCGCGCTATTAATCGCGATCTCTTAAAATCTCTCCGACTCGCTACATGTCAATTCGGCTCAGAGACTCGTGCACAACTCTGTTGTTTTCTCTCGTTTATTCGTCGTTATGGGAAACATCTATTCAGGACTCGTTCACGTTGAAAGAATGTTGATATTGGAAAAAAAACGAAAATTTAAGAGTATGAATAATTGTACAATGAAAATTTTCAAATTTGATGGATTTTTTGAGTTGTATCGCGGTTTCAACGTCAGTATGCAAAGGATCATTATACATTGCGCATTATTCTATATAGCACAAAAGTCCGAAATACATCCCGGAGACGTCCTATGAGACGATGTGATATCTCTGGAACATCTCTGAGATATATTTCGAAGTTTTGTATGGGATATTTTGGATATTATAATATTATGAGAAATATATAGTATCTGATTCGAAAAATACACCATATATACTGTTATACGTAAAATTTTTGATCACTCAGGTATATATTTCCTAACAATAAGAATTGAAGAGGCAAATAAGGAGTACAGCACGGATGTCTTAGTGCTAGTTCGCCGCGTACGTTAATCGAAGAAAAAATTTCGATACGTGCGTTTGACATGCTGGACATAATTATCCTTCCACTATCATATTAATATTATATAATATTAATATGATAGTGGAAGGATAATTATGTCCAGCATGTCAAACGCACGTATCGAAATTTTTTCTTCGATTAACGTACGCGGCGAACTAGCACTAAGACATCCGTGCTGTACTCCTTATTTGCCTCTTCAATTCTTACTGTTAGTTATTCTAAAAAGGAGTTTTCTATAATTTCTGTTTATATATTTCCTGTTTTTTTTGTTGCCCTTATAAATATACGAAAATTACATTAGCAAAGGTTAATTTTATATTTTATAAGCAGAATTTAATGTTGTATAACGAAAAAAAATTGTACAATATTTTTATATATAATTATAATTCTTTTTACATGATCCTTTAAATATTTTATATCTCTATTATTGTTGTTACTTTAATTAATCGAATAATAATTATTACTTTGTAGTTAGTAACATTTAAAATTTTTTTTAAAAAAATCAGTCACTTGTAATTATAATGAACAAATTAATATTTCTTAATATTAATATTTCTTAATTGCAATTTAAAGACAACCTGAGCCTATGTATATATATTTAAATTATTTCGGATAATTTTACTATTAAATTTATCCGCCTTTTTAATATAATTTGAATTTAAATTTAGTCCGATCTGAGTATCGATTCTAGGATCGGTAAAAAATTTAAAATCTTATCGTCTAAACTTGAATCTGAATAATGCAGATTTGAGTTTTTGAATCGGAATCCGAATATTTGAAAACTCTAGTCGTAATCAAATAGTATGAACCTATTTAAGTAGAATTATGGTATAAATGTAAAACTTTACAACGCCCTCTGCAGTTTACTGGTTTCGTCGACAAACCAGCTATTCGCCATCGTGAACCGTGTGAAGTGACTTCAAGAGTGTGCTCCAGTCGAGCACAAACCATATACGAGTCAATCCAAGAAGCGTCGTGCTTGTAAGAGTAGCTATTTGAAAGGTATGATTCTAGAATATCTAACACGAAGAGCAGACAGATAAATCAGGGTAAATTCACTCGCAGACGATGAAGTAAAACGAGAAAATCGGAGAGCGAGAAAATGCGTGGCTGAACATGGCCACGGCTCGCTGTCGGCCGTGGTGCTGCAGTTTGTAAATCACAGCGCGCATGCGCGTTTAGTATACTGTAGATAGACAAAAAGAAATTATTGGCGCGCGAAGCGCACGCGATGCACAAATAATCTTATTTTTATTGTTTACATTTTATATAATAATTAAATACAGACCGTTCGCAATAATTACTATACAAAAGATAACTTCATATTATTTATTTTCGCAATGAAAATCAAATGTGCAATAGATAATTAAATAGGCGATTGCAATAAAAGATACGATATTATTTGTGTGCGTTACATATTATCATAAAGTTTAAGTTAATTTTTAATAATATGATATGAAAATATTTTTGCCATTAAAGTAAAGTTAAATACAATATACAATCATGTTGCATAAAAGAAATTGAAGAATATAGATATTTAAAAAATTTTTTTAAATCTAAATTTGTAATTACAAAAAACGCTAATCATGTGATTCAATTATACCTTCACCTGCATAAAATAGTTGGTTTATTCTAACCTAATATTACTCTATTTAAATATTAATATACCAATAAATTAATTTCCTAAAAAATATTAAATAATTTTGTTGATATTATATACATTGGATAAATAATTATATTAAGTTAATTTTTATTCTACGCATACTTTGATTAATCCACAATCTCATTTGAAACCTAACCTAACTTACGCGCGAAGCAAACGTGCGTATATGCAAGCATATATATATATATATTTGCGTATATTAATCTATTTTTTCTTATTATAATACGAAAAACTTATTACATAATTAATTAACATATTGTAAGTGTACTAATTTGTAGTACTTTTGTTCAACACTTAAGATAGCTTTGAAAATCGTTGTTATAACACCAGATTTGTAGTTTCTTTCTTTCCTGAAGTATATAAATCGGATATAGAAAAAAGACAAATACGAGAAATTAAAAACCAAGAAGCAAAAATTTTTTATATTTTTATGCTTTGTCATCACTTCTAATGTATATTTATTTCACTCCGAATATAAAAAAGTAAAATGTAAGAAGTATAACTGAAATACAAGCGAGAGAGACACATACGAATAAGAACAAAAGTGAAACTTATATTTTTTATACTTTCCATATATTTCGAAAATCATTCTAACGAATTGAGGCCGATTTTTCCAACTACTTAGTAAACTAACAGTTAAATCATATATCTTTATTATGTTTTCAAATTAGAGTCGATTTTCCCACACTTTTTGGCATGTTAACCGTTAAATCGTATCTATTTTTCCTTCAAATTAAACAAAGACAGACACATAATTTAATTGTTAGCTTACTAAGAAAAATTGGGTTTTAGACATATGATTTAACTGTTATTTAATTTACTAAAGTTTGATTGCACCAGCATTATTTTGATTTTAAGCGAGATTTAAATATGTGTCTGTTTTTATTCGTTTAGAAAGAAAGATAAAGATAGATACATGTTTAAGGGCCGGTTTTTCAATAGCAGTTTAAACTTGGATTCAAGTTTAAATTCTATTCTAACAATGCGTTTGTTTTGTTTAAACAGAGTTTAAGTTAAAACCTAAGTTTAAACTATCATTGAAAAACCGACCTTTAGTCTCGCTTAAAGTCAAAATAATGTTGGTGCAACTAGGCCTAAGAAATTAGTGGTCTGTTCTTTTTAGCTGTACTGCTGAACTAGTGCAATAAGTTAGAGTAAGAGAAAGTATATTTGTTTAACTTATTGCACTAGTTCAACAATGCAGCTAAAAAGGACAGACCATAAGAAAATCGATCTTAGCACCTACCTTATGAGAGTGGTTGTGTTTAGAAGATACAACAGCTGATTGGTTTATACTTTTAGAGTGTCGTTTGAAAATTGACACGTGCGTTGCCAACGTTATATATGTTTGTAACAACGATTTCACCATAGATCAGTCCATTATAGACTATATATGATAACGGCAAAATTTTTGTTTTTATATTTACATTATTAAACAAAGTCTTTTACAAAATTATGTAAAAAAAATACAAGTAGGTTGTCTTCTAAATAAACCGTCTAATAAATAAACCGTAATAGCAAACTTATTAACATGGGCTTCAAGCCTGTTTCCAACAACGTCGATTAAATCGTAATCTGATTAAAGTCTAAAAGTTTAAACTTAGCTTAAGGTTTAATCGACGTTGATAGGACTTAATGAAAATATCTTAAATTACTAGTTACTTTATTTTTCCTAACTAATAGATTAATATATTTTCTTCAGTAAATGTTCACCTTAAGTTTGTATTAAAATTTAATAAAAAAATTTCCCTTCCTGTTGAAAAGAATATTTCCTTTATGACGAAATTTATTAAGCTTGATTTTTCTAGATTTGGAAAAATGTCCTCCGTACAAGTAGATCGACCCACCAAAATGAGTCACCATTCACATAGTAAGAAAGAATGTGATAACAACAAGTCCAGAAAACAGTTCAATCTGTCCTATAAGAAGCACAACAAACATGATGATCGTGGAGGAGGAATCGGTTGTGGTGGGGGAAGCGGCAGTGGTAGCAGTTCTTTTCCAAGTTTTAAGTTTGGACGAAAACGTTCACAAAGCAACAATGGTGGAAAGTTCTTTCCACCTTATAAACGACGTAAAAAGGACGGCAACAACATTATTCCACCTACGAAATTTCTTTTAGGCAAGTAATAAAATTATAATTATGAGCCAACAGAGCCAATATGTACAAATATATATTTACTTTATATTGTAAGGTATTATTTCATAGTAAATATATTCATAATATGATAAATGTTTGCTAAATACTCAGTGAACTTTTGAGTCTGATTGCTTTATATCTTTAGATTTTGAGCAAATCTAAAAGCAGATTTAAAAGTACACTAAATATTTAGTAAGTGGTAATATTAAATACATTCAGTGCATTTACTATGTGCCAAAAATATACATGAGATCTACTTTAACAGAATTTTATATCTTGCACATGTTAGAATGAAACAAGTATATAATCATGCATTGAAAAGGAAAGTAACAAAATTCCAGTGCAAAACATGAATTTCAGTTTCTAGTTATTATAAAAACCCCATTTTATTTAAATCTTATCTATTAAAATTTCAGAATAGGTTATATCGTATATGATGAATGATAAAAATTCTTAGTATGTAACAGATGTGCTATAATGCAATATTCTTTTGCAGATAAAACAAACAATGTTGCATCATTTGTAATTTAATTCTCATTAGATTATCATTAAATGTTAAATCTCATTATATTAAAGATCCAAAAAACGTATAGATATTCACATTTTTTATATTTTTTAAATATATTTTCTCGATACATTATAATTATAATACGATGTATTTCTAATAATGTGTTTTTGTTAATTTTATTTTACAGGCGGCAATATTCGCGATCCTTTGAACTTAAACAGTATGCAAGATGAAGAAGTAAATCGCGCCATGAACGCAGTGACGCCAAAATCCAGTCCTATCCCTACTCCAAAACATAAAAAAGATGTAATAGAGGTGTTAATTCCACCCAATATCCAAGATCCGCTACTTTTAACGTGTAATGACAATGAAGAATACGAAAAGCAGTTATTTCCTCTGAGAAAAACGTCTAAACGCAGAAATAAGAAAAAAAGACGAGCCTGTTCTTCTTCAGTGAAAGAGGAGATTACAAATGAAATTGAGGAAGCTAAACGTATGAAGACAAATGATTCTGAGCTTTGTGAAATGGTGGAAAGTGCAGCGGAAAAGAGTCCCAGCGAAAGGATCCAGCCGACGGATTCCGAAATGGCACAAGATAAGAATTCTATGGAGAACAAAGTGGAAAGTCCTGAAAAAGATAAAAATAAGGGAAATGTAGGAAAAATTGGTAAAATAGGAAACAAATTGGAGAGAGAAGACAAAAACAAATTGCGATTAAAAGGTTTAGAAGAACCAAAGGATAAAAGATTGCGCAAGGTAATGCTTTTTAATCTAATTAACGTTTCTTCTTTATTAATTTTAATTACATTAATTTTTTTCCATTAAATATTCCATCCATCTATTTATCCATTCATCAATCCCATTTAATATTATAAAAATAAAACATTTATATATATATAAAAATAAAACATTATCTATTTCTTTACAAACATTTTAATCTCCGTTTGATATTTTTATACGATCTCTCTTTGTTTATCTTTAAAATTTAGGACACCAAGGATAAGATAGTGAGTCCTGTGATTCCTCAACCAGGTGCTTGGAAGCCTCGAGCACAGCACAGGCCCAGTCAGGATAAGAAGAAGAAACAGCAACAACAAGCAATGCCAAACTTTAGAGAAAAGAATGCTCGCTACCAATATGGCAATTATAACAGGTCTTTTAGTGCTTACTACATGTCATTAATGCCTTTATTTTTTAATTAAACATATATGATCTTACAACGGATTTTTAATTATCTTTATCTGGATAGGTATTATGGATACAGAAATCCTCATTGCGAAGTTGATTCTCGACTTAAAGCATTTACCAGGCGTCCAGAGCTATTTCTGCGAAAAGATATTTTAGACATCGGATGTAATATTGGACACATCACTTTGTCAGTGGCAAGAGATTTTAGAGCGAAAAGCATCACAGGAATTGATATTGATAGGACACTGATCAATATTGCTCGAAAAAATGTAAAGCATTACGTGAATTGCGTCCAATCACCAGCGAGTAACGAGGAAAGCGATAGAAGAGTATCTGATTCGGATGCAAATTTCTTTCCTAAGTCGATGCCTATCAGCTACGGGCCTGTAGACATTCCGGGATTCACGAAGCACAAACATGACAAGGGATTTCCTTATAACGTCACGTTTGTCCAGGTAACATATATGAATATATATGATCATTAATCTTAATATATTGAGGGTCATTTAAAAAATTCGATTCGATTTCTGGTTTAAATCTCCATTATATTCAATGAAACAAATTGTTTGTCAAGCAAATAATCATCATGGTCATTGTCTGTGATCAACATTCTGCTAGCATTTGTATATTTCTGTCATAGATCCAGATAGCCAAGTGTGATTGAACATTTTAAGTAAACACAGCTAATACACAGCAGATATTGTTAAATGTTTGTATATTTGTTATATTTGATGTATATTTGTTAACATATAATAAACGCATTACTGAATGCAACATGATTGCTTACATTTAGATGACGAAATTTAAAGAGCAAACCGGTCAACGACAGTGGAAACGTTGTCAGCGTCACAAAAACTTTTTAACGGATTACAAATCTGCGTCAACGTATTGCCATTAATTTGCAGTTATTTAAATTAGAATTCACGTGAGTTCAATGCGATACACATAAAATGCTGTCATATCTTGTTCCTAATTTGTTTAAATTAGTTCCTGTTTGTTGTTGAAAACATGACAGTAAACTCACAGACAATTGGCTATCTGGGGATGGTGGCCAGTTTATGGCCTTCAAGAAAGCTTAAAAAATCGAACTTTTTGACTGACCTAAAATTTGTTTTTTTGGAAAAATTAAAAAAAAAATTTATATACACAGCATGATTAATGTTTTCCAGTTTTGATTTAAGCATTTTTGAGTGATATCCTATTTATATGATCTTGTTTAGATATTTGTATATTATGTCTGTTGATTAAAGTTTTTAAAAATTGCTTTTTTATTAATTACTTAAAACTATAAGATATGAATATCTATATTTAACTTAAAAATGTCTAAATGGAAGATAATAATAATTCCGTATGTGTATATCAAATTATATGCTGAAATGCTCAGAATTAGTTACTCTTTTAAGATGATTTTAGGGATTGTCTTTGTTATTCTCTATAGTTTTAGCTACTAACTAAACTATTCAGAATACTAGTTCAATACTCTATCTCTTCATCTGTTACAATTAGAGATATTAGTCTGTAACATAATATTGTACTTGTATAAATAAAATTAAACAATTTTAGGGTAACTATGTATTAGATGATGACGCTCTTTTGCACGCGGAGCAACCACAATTTGATACGATCCTATGTCTCTCTATCACCAAGTGGATACACCTCAATTTTGGTGACGCTGGTCTTAAGCAGGCGTTTAAACGTATGTACGCGCAATTACGTCCCGGCGGTGTACTGGTGTTGGAACCTCAAGAATGGAGCAGCTACAATAAGAAAAAGAATCTCACTGTAAGTACGAAGATACAATTTCTAATATTATCTGTTTGTGTTATAATTTTCTAAAAAAAATTATTATTTTTCTAGGAACGAATTTACAAAAATTATCGCAGCATCGAGTTTCGCCCTTACAACTTTACGCAATATCTCTTGTCTTCCGAAGTAGGTTTCTTCAAATGCGAAGTGGTCTCTATCCCACATCATCCTTTCAGAGGATTCCAGCGTCCACTCTATTTGTTCACAAAGGAGGGCAGCCAATCAAATGATGACGTTATAAGTATACCTGATCGGCAAGAAAGCGAGCGATTACATGAAGCGGAGAGAATGGAATATGAGCAGGAATTGTTTCCAAAAACTACCAGTAAAGAGAATATGTCAGAGATTAGTCCCCAAAGTGGCGACCAATATGAACAACTGGAGGACTTTTATGTGCCTAGCACCATATCGTATCACGACACACCAAGTCATAATAACGAACATCAGAATCAAGATACAGAAAGCTGCTATGACATAATTATGATGAAAGAAACGGAGGCGGGAGATACTAAGACGCATGATAATGATAAAAAACTGGAAGACACGGGAGGAGAAGTGAGAAATAAAATTGATAAAGTACTCGAAGAAAATGAAGAAATAAAAGATGTAATAGAAGATGATAATGTTGCTTGCAATCCTGATAAGCAGAAGGAATACAGCGTTAATAAAACAGACAACAATGATAAAGAAATGGCAAAAGTGGAAAAGACAATAGATGATACTTGTGAGAGACAAGACGATGATCAGAAAATAATGGGGGACGAAATTATTGACGCTAAGAACTGTTAGTTTCGACATTTTGACATTTCCGTCCATTTATTTTTATGTATACCTTTGCCTTATTCTTCTTGCTTACTATATCTCTTTTATTAAATTCTCAATAGCTATAAAAGGAAATCTAATAGTTTCTCCTTATTTGGACTATTAACATAAATGGATGAACAAGTTGCTTGAAACTCGTTAGTAGTATTGTGGAATGTTCTAAGTACTAATAAGATTGATAAAGATTCGTTCGTTTTTAGTTTTATCTGCATAAGAGAATTATATTGGACAAATCATTATAAGGAACGAACGAATTTTGTAAAAAATTCGATAGTATTGAATTGTTTAAGATACATTAAAGCGTAAAGAAACACGGCTGGCCAGTGCGCGTCGCTTCGCTTATAGCGTGCACTTGGCGCGAGACACTACCGTGTCTCTTGATATTTTTTAAGTGCGAATAAAAGTTCGTTCGTTTTTTCATTTGTTTTATTAGTGCAAGAGTCATATTGAGAAAAAACGAACGGATTTTGTCAAAAACTTAGTAGTATTAGATTAATGAACCAATAAGAATAAACAAAAAATTAATAAAAGTTTGTTCGTTTTTTTCTTTGTTTTCTGTTTATCAATAAAAATTATATAGGGAAAAAACGAACGAATTTTATGAAAAATTCAACAGTAATTGATTGATGACAAAATAATAATGAATAAGGTTAAATGTATAAAAGTTTGTTTATTATTTTGTTACCATAAATATCATCTAACATATTATCTTGCAACGGTGGACTCTTTAATTAGTTAATTCTGTATTAAAAAAAAAAAAAGAAAAATGGAAACAATGTGTTACAGAATTTTGTACACATATAATCTTCATTTTTCTTTTTACATACACTATTGTTCACCGAAATTGTAACATGGAAAACATTAAACTAGTTTGTTATTCTATAAAGCACCAACTGTAAATATTTAGTTTCTGAAAAATTTTATTTATAGAAATTTCGTAATGTTGTATAATCTTATTTATTTTTTTCTTATAATTTACCATATTAAATTCTGTAATTATACATTTTGTTAAGGACTTGTTGTGTTATTACAATTTCAATAAACAACAGTACATGATTTTGAAATGATTTAAAGATAAATTTCTTAACCAGAGAATAAAAAGAAATGATATAATAGAATTTAACAATACAAATCTAATTTTTCAATAACATGCGACGTTATTAAAGCTCTTTTAAGATATATTTATTTTGATTATAAAGAATGTGTAAATTAATGGTAAACACGAGCTAAGGAACTAAAGAACAATCTCATGAGATGACAAAGTTCACATTTCTGGACAAAAACAAATTCTTTTTCATAAAAGACAAATGATGTGAATAATAAGCATAAAATAGGAACATTTACGCCAGTATTATATATATATATATATATATATATATATATATATATATATATATATATATACACACACACACACCACGCGCGTGCGCATAAACATATACACATATACATATACACACACATACACTGTAATCTGGATAAAAGATATTGGCCCATATTCTAAATCCTCTTTTATCGATAAAAGTGCCTTAAATGTAGCTTCTCAGCCAATCAAATGGTTCCTAAGCCTCTTTTAAAGACACTTTTATAGATAAAAGAGGATTCAGAATATAGGCCATTGAATAAAGAATTGCTTCGAGATTATTATTAATATGCACACTCACATTTTCTCTTATATAAAAATTAATAATATTAAATTAATAAAACATCACTTCTTTTCAGATTTTAATAATATTTCATAAAAAGTCGAATTTATTAAATATTATTTGAAACGGAAAACGGACTTCTGACATGTAGACTCGCTAGACCCGTTAATTTCATTAAAGATACGTTACTTTTATTAATTCTAAAATTCTAAAATAATTCTAAAATTTTTTTTTTAAATGAACTATCTAAACTGATATACACTGATGCAATAAGTTAAAGTGAGATAAATCTATTGGCTGCGTTCAGCAAAACACGATTGCACAATTGTTTTATTATCTTCTGCTGAACAGTACTAAACGCATTCATCAATGCAGTATATTTATTCAGCGGTCGCCATGTCTCTCAGCGAGCCGAAAGTACGCTGAATCTAAGCGCAACGTATTGAGCAAGATTGATGCTCCCAGCTTAAATATGTGTAAGATATAATAAGTTAAATTGCAAGCATGCAAGATGAACTTAGCCACAGAAAGAGGTAAAAAATTCGTAGTTACACATATATATGTATATATCAACAGTGATGCGCAAAAAGTATTCCAAACTGTTGCAATACTCTAAACTATTTACAAAGTGCTGAATGGACCAAACTATTTAAAATGTTCTGTTGAACGTAGTTATTGTTAAGTTATATCATGAGTTCAATACAAATATAGAAAAATTTATTGACCATTTAGTGTAGTTTATAGCCATCATTACCTCATTAAGGAAAGTAGCGACTCGTAGCGGAGATTTCGGAACTAAAGCCAGCGGTACACAATACTTGTTTTTGTGATGGATTGCTTGTTGAATGAAAATACTTTGTTTTGATTGGTGCATTTTCATTCATCTTCAGAAATACATCAATCAGAACAAAGTATTTCTATCCAGCAACAAACCAACACGAAAATAATAGCATGTTCGACTGGTTCTGAGTTAACCCCATGGATGTAGAAATATAAGGATGGAGTGTAATCCCGGAGGGTTGAAACCACAGAGAGAGAGGGACGAGGTAAAACTGTGCCTGGTTTTGATTTTGATTGGATTTTACTACGCGCAAGCGTAATAGTACCGTCTTCGCATCCATAGGTCTGTTCTTTCCAGCTAACTGTGTGTACTAGTGCAATAAGTTAGAATGAGACAAATATATTTTATTTCACTTTAACTTATTGCACCAGTGTAGCAGTACAGTTGAAAAAAACAAACATGTTAGCATCCATTAACATCTGAGCACGTGTGAGGAGCAAATATTGTCTTATTGTTTATTGTTAATAAATCGTTGGAGTAACGGTGCAGTGTTCCTTTTTGCAAAAGCAGATCGGACTGCCAAAATTGGAAAAAACACACGGACAGTGAAAAAAAAATCACATTTCATAGTTAAGATAACCTTTTAATGATTATGAACTGTTAATGAAAAACTGTTTTTAAATATTCTTCACAGTATTCCAAAAGATGATACGCTTCATAAATGTTGGCTTGATATATTACATATTAAATCAATATCGAATTCATCCCGTGTTTGCTCCCTGCACTTTAACGAAGAGTTATTTACTAACAGTGGCTCTATATATACAATTAAGCGGAATGCATTGCCAAGAGTAAGATCTTCTTTACTCGACAAATCTTTAACCTCGATTTTCTCGAAAACAAAGTTGCAACAAAAAATATTCTTTTTTTTTACTTATTTTTGCATAGAATCATCTCCTACTCACTATATTATTAATTTTTCACCTATTATTCTAAATTATATGTTCATGTTCTTAATACTTCATTTATAATTAGCGGTACTGCGCATGAGTACAACTCAACCAATCAAATTCAGGCATAGTTTTAGAGATACCTCGTCCCTCAAATCGGCTTCACCTCCCTTGCCAATAAATTCAGCTTTATCCTTATATTCATCCTTACATCCATGGTTATTCAGCCTACGTTATTACCTACTCTGGGTTATTCAACTTACGTTTATTGGTAGAACAAGTACTTATAAGTTTTATGGTTGGCTAGTAGAGACTTATGACGTCATTAATCGCTCTCGGCGATTAACCCAGGCCCCTAATTCTCCAGGCCCGAAAATATATCGCATACGACATTTAGGTTGCGTTCTGTTTCACGCATTATGCGCGCATTGCCTACAATATACGTAACATGAACTATAGATAAATGCGCACATATGCGTGAAACGGAACGCAGCCTTAGTGAAGAGCTATAGTAACATGAATTATAGCTTTTCACTAATTGTCGTATGCGATATATTTTCGAGAATCAGGATCCAGGGCCAGTCAAACACGCTATAAGTATCGTGTGCCGCTGGCTCAAGTTAAAAAAATAACGGATCTAAAGAGTACATTAGACCCGTTTTCTGTAAGTAAAGCCAGCGGCACATGATGTTTGTTTTCATGCTGGATTGCTTGCTGGACGGAAATACTATGTTCTGATTGGTGCATTTCTGAAAATGGACCAATCAGAATAGAATATTTACATTCAGCAAGCAATCCAGCACGAAAACAAGCATCGTGTGCCGCTGGGTTTATAGTTAATAAAAAATTGCTGTTTATAGCCATCACTACTTCAGGGTAGCGATTATGAATCTTTCACGTGAACTTTATTTTCATTTTTTACTTTTCACTGTAAGTTATTTCACATAAAAAGTAAACAATGAAAATATGGAAAGTAATATTTATGTAATATAGATTATTAAAATTAAAATGTAATTATAGTATACACAATGTAATATTAATAAGCATTATACAACTTAAATTTATAGTTATAATATAATATAATAATACAATATGAGTAAATTTAATAAATGAGACGAACGTTAACAGTGAAAGGTAAATTCTCAAAACATGAAATATTTCACGTGAACTTTCAGTTTGCTCGTATATGTTCTTCTTTACATGTAAATTGTGTAAGTTTCCATGAAAATTTTTAAGCATCAAGTGATGTGGTTTAAATGTGAAAATGTGTTTTAATGTAATACTACATTCGCATATTATGTACAAAGTGAGTAGAATTTCTTATAGTGACTTTAATTTTTATGGTTATACGACAATTGGTATTTGACATAAGAATCCTACGTCCATTAAAAATAAATAACGAAAGCCAATTGAAGCGTGATGACGTATAGG